CATTTATCCACGTGAGTTAGTGCCATTCCCATCATTATACTCTGGTATATCAACCCTGTATTCACGTTCGAAACACAGACTATGGGTTCCAGTCTCCCCCATACTGCTTTGAAGAAAAGACATCCCAGAAAATGTGCTTCTGTGTGAGACCTGGGGGCAATGCGGGTTTCTGGTTAAAGATGTTTAACAAGTAGAACCTGGAGGAGACAGAGAGGCCCCCAATTCCCAGTGATGTACATTCTGTTGCCACTTGCAGAGGCAGTAAGGCAAGACACAGACATTTATGGTCTACTATGGCCAGGGGAAACCCTGAAAATCTCTCAGTATGAAGACGAAACAACATTGTTCCTGAGCTCAGACAGGAGCTCGCAGAGAGCTCTGCAGGTCATAGGCAAATAGTCCTGGGCCTCCAAGCTCAATGAGCAAAACGAATTCTCTGGTTCCTGAAAAGACAGGAACATAGGCCCAGAAGCTCTGAAGCTCTCTACAGAGCCCCTCGGGATACCCGGGTCTTTGTTTTTAGGCCAAGACAACAAACTGATAAACTAGACCAGAATGTTTACCGTTGTTCTAAATGTATATTTTAAAACTGATATCTCACTATAGGTAGACTTTGTCTCGTAAAAGCTTTTAATTCTTAGGAAAGATTTAAATACTTAGCACGATATTTTCATGGAAAGCCAGTTCACAGTGAGAATTTTTCTGAATTTGTTTGAATATTTAAATATCTAATTACAAAGGAGACCATGTGTTTTTTTCCCTAGAAACATAGGGGCTATCTAAGTCATGAATGAACATCCAGAAGTAGATATTACATTCACACCTAAGGGAATAAACACAATTTCTATATTTCTATGTCTGGAAACAATATGAAATTGAACATTTAATTCCAACATGACAATGCATTTTTAAATACAGTTTAAAATAACTTAGATTAATACTCTCACTGGGGGACTAATTAATGACAAAAACAATATCAAAAATTAAATTGCACATCTTGTTTCCATCTGTGGATAACAAATGGATTTAGTTCTTTTGTTTTAAAATTCACAAGCAGTGAAAAAAACACAACATGAACAAATACAGCAGCAAATTAATAAACACTTTCAAAGTACACTGCCAACATTCAACATTTTTCTTCCTTTAAACAAATCACACACAAAAAAAAACCTGGGTCTGACAATATCTGTAGCTATCCAATTTCCACAATTTTCATTCTTTTTCCTTTTATTAGTGTGAGGTTTTGCTTGGTTGGAGAACACACATTTCCAATTCAGCATAAAACTATGAAAATCATTGGTATGGATTAGTAATATTATTACTAAAGCCCTGAAGATTGGTATTTAATATAAGAGATACAGATGCAGTGTTTGGAGTGTTATAACAGAAACAAGAAATAACTTGCAGAAAAGGCTTGATCAGGGCCCTTACCATACTTAATCATTTTCTAAAAAACAGACTGTCGACTGTCCAGTTGAGCAGGCGGCTATGGTGTTAAAAAGTGAACTCCCTGAATAACTAGCAAGCTCCTGCTAAAAGGGTCCATTTGCAAATCTGTATTAGCATATGCACATATCAGCTTGAAGCAATGCCTTCTAGCTTTGCTGAATGTGGCACCTGTATTTACATAGCCGGTACACTGGCCTTGCTCATTTCTTAGGAAAACAGAACAAGTTTGTTTCTCATTTCTGAAGATTCTTCCCTCTCTCAGAGGATAAAGCCAATGGATGAATTATGACAAACATATACTTCACTCAGAAGAAAATATGGTCAACACAGCAGAAAGCTGGCTGTTCCAGCTAATAAATCTGCTGCTTAAAAATTAAATATTATTCTTAGCTTTCAAGTCCTGTTCTCACAAGCTGCAACATCTTTCTTCTTTCGTAAAAAATTATGTGAGAATGCATGACCAAGCTGGAAAAGCAACTGGTGGTGCTCTTGTCTTGTAATGCAGTTTAAGCCCAAAAGCCTAGAGTTCAAACTTTAAAAATGTTTTTTCCATTTTGTAAAGAAAAACTATGCTTAACTCCTTTGCTGTATGTCTAACTAAAAGTTTTAGTCTTATATAATACATCAATGATTGCTACACAGTTATTGAAAGTAATGAGAAAGAAAATGAGAACACAACTGTTTTTGTTTTTTGATTAATAAATATACCTCAGACTGATCTTGATAGGATTATTCAGTAAGTATCCACTGTAACCATCTCTGTAGTTACAAATTAATCTGGAGTACAGCTGTCCTACTCCACATTTTTAAGTCCTTCTGCTATGAAAAAGATTTGTGATATTTTGGCTTAGTTGATATGATTGTAAATGTATCTGTGCATCTGGACAGTATGTGGAACATACAGCTACATTACATGATACTTGAACAATCACTTATTATAAAGCATACTTCATATGCAGAAGTTATGTGTCTTTGATTTAATCTTACATATGTATGAAATGTATTACATGCACTTGCCAGTAATACAATTGCAATTTGGTGTTTATTTTTAAGATAAACTAGCTTTAATAATAATAAAAAGAAGAAGAACAAAAAGAAGAAAGTTTTGGCAGGAATATTGTTGTGTAAAAAATGGCAGTAAACATAGGGTAGACAGGTCAATAACGCAGCTTTGGTAGTATATTTGGTTGGTTTGGTTTATATTTTTTGGTTGAAATATCTGTAGCTGCCCAGCGTAACAGCTGACTTACATCTTTCAAAGTGCATTCTCAATTACAGAGCTGCACCCTGATCCCACTGCACTATTAGTCTTTCAGCAGAAAGAGCAAGAATGAAGTGCCAAGAACTTAGAGGAAGGATGTTAAAACTGTGGTGGGTGGGAAATGAGGCACAGAGGAGACAGGCTGGCTGAACATCACCTCTCTTACAGGGTGGAGGCCGCTGACAACAGCTAATCCTCCCCAGTTTAGTTAATAGGAACTTTTGTTTCACAAACTGAGCACCAGATAGACTTACAATAAGTCATGTGACAACGAGACAGAGAGTGCTGAAAGTGCAATCAAGAAAAGCAGAGGTTTACAATTTAAAAGTACACAAGGTATATGTGAAGAAAAGAGTACTTTAATGTTCAAGCATTTAGATAATGCTGTAAAAAGAAGCCAAGCTTTTCTAAACCAGATCAGAAAGTAAGGTAATTTTAGAAGAACCACGTTTAGACTGGATTTACTAAAAAAAAAAAATGAGATTTTGGTTTGTGATATTAGTATGTTAGGTGGACATATGAAGTGATTTGCTAGTGAGAGATCTTCTGTAATCAGAAATGAGTAAAGCATAGGCCATAAGGAATTTTGATGCAACAGATTATGTAATAACGCAGCTAGTTTACATAAAATGTATCAACTTGTGTTGATAATTGTGAATTAATATCTTCATTAATTCCCTAATGTACTGTAAAAATATTTCACATAATATTTTAAAAGGTAGCATTGCTTTAGCAGAACCAAGTTTCTCTGTTTTAAAAAGGTGCGAATTCATTGGCCAGCTGTGATGTTTATTTTATTCTGCCTTTATAGTTCTCGATTTTTTTTTTTTGCATTACTTTCTTTTTACCCATTCAGCCAGTGTTTACATGTCCCCAGGGCAAGGTAGGGGAGATAATGAAACCAGAGCCAGTGATCGTAAGACAGGAAACCGTGTGGGCAGTCTGTCTCTCCGTGTCACAGCCTGCGTCAGACACACAGGAGGGAGTTTTCCACTGACGAAAAAGGCTGTGCTGCCGAGAAGGTTGGATCAGACAAGGGGGAGCTTCAGCTGGTGTAGTTCTCGTTCAGACCGAGTCAAACAAAAAACCCAGCAGTCTAGACTATGCAAGGATAAGCGCGATTCTGTGGATTAATATACATTATTTCATTTACGGAATTTTCTTTTTCTACTGATGGTGAACTGGTAGACAATCTCTTGGTAAGTAACTGTTTAAGTGTGCCAGTTATTTTAAAAATGGACATGAAATTTATGTTTAAAGACCGTGAGACTGGACACCAGCCAAATAGTTTGAATGTTCTCTGTCGTATGTAACTCGGACCTAAAAAGCGGTTGAGGTAATTATTTTTTTCTGGAGAGAAGTTTGGATTTGAGGAAAGGCAGGGATTGGAGACTGAGGTGCAGGTCGGCTTTACTTTAAAAAATCCGAAGTGCAGTTTAAAAATATTTTTGGGATAGATGCTAGCAACAAATGTTTTACATTGTTGTATCACTCTACGCTTAGACCTAAACGTTATCTTATTAGAAATATATAAGATTCAATTTCTATAGTAGTGATTTCTTGTTGTAATTATTAGATTTTAGTTACACTATGAATGCCATCGGTAGTCACTTAAAAATGAATGAAACTTGCCAATACGCTTCTAATTATCATTACTGAAAAAGGTCAATGCGAAAAATGATTAATTTAAAATCCTGTAGAGTATTGTCTAAAGCTACATGCCCGCAGGTACTGAAGCTAAGAAAGAGTTTTCTGTGTAATTAATTAGCCACGAGTGCTCTTAACAGACTGCTTATGCACATCACACAATAAATCGTGAGGCGTTTTGGTACTCTAATTTGAGGTGTTATGCACGGTGACAGTCGACAGTGTTGATTTATACTACGCTGATTAGCCAGTGTCTGTATATACAGTATTCAAAATTGATTCCTCTTGTTCACGGTGAGTCCCAGTTGCTTGTTACACGAGCGACTCCTTAAGGAACTACAGCTGATCGAGGTCACGCGGTGTTGAAGAGAATACTCTGTTGTAATTGTAATTAGCAGTAATCGCTAAGGGTGAGGGGGTCAGACTTTGCCTACAACTATCATCACGTTGAATACACCGTGTTTAGAATAGCAGTACATATTTTTTTTTATGCAAGCAAAACCATGGTTGTTTCGTATTTAATCTTCATAATGTTTTTATCCTTAAACGCTGAAACAGATCTCTTATAATAACTATTCTAGACATGCATGCAACTATATATGGAATATTATCACCTAGAATGCTGCAGCCAAGATAAGTGGTAGCAAAAATGTTTTTGATCTACTGAACAAGTATTTTAAGCAAATGAGTTAATTTAAAGAAGTGCTTAAACCCTCTAGCCTATCTTTAATAAATGAAGTACTCAGAAAAACGTACAATGTCTTGGAAGAGCCGTGCAATCGTTAAGAGGAGTATTCAAAAGAAGTTAATTAAACTGCTGGGGTCTTAAAGCTGCAGAACATAACAATCTCTGCTTTCTAAGTAAGGGGCTTCCTGCTGAGTAATCACTGCCCAGAGACTGAGGAGATGGGGACCACAGTCCCTCCCAGGGTATAGACCCCAGAAGTACAGGGAAGCTTTCTCTCTCTGGAATGTCAGCAGAGTGACTTCCCAGCATTGTTTTGGCAACTGTGGAAACGAAACTTGTGTTTTCTTTTCTGTTGTCGACTCCCCTCCTTGCATACCACACACTCGACAAGTGTCAAAGGTCAGACAATAATTTTGGTTCTTTTATTAGTTTGCAATGAATTGTGTAAGCATGGGCTAAAATGTTTTGGCTGGGGTAAGAAACAAAACAAAACTTTGTAGAGCTCCTCATTTCTTTCATTACATTTTTTCTTTTTATTATTTTGTTGACTTAACATTCCACACAGCTGTATCCTAATAGCTTTTACTGTAGAGCATGGTGTTCTTGCAAAAGCAGTCTGGTCAACTACATTTAACATATTAATATGAAGTGATGAGATTCATCAACACTGTCCAGCCTTGTCACCTTAATCTCTGTGGAAAAATGTAAAGCCTATATTACCTATAAACTATATGCCTTATAGGCAGTATAGTTCAAGCCACAAGGCAATTGAATGATCAGACTTCTTTGTAAAGAGTGCAACAATAATTAGAAGATGACTTGGAACACCTGGTAAGTCTCAGCAGTCTGTACAGTCAAGTGCAGGTGCCAGCTTAGTGAGGTAGGAAGGAGTACTTCATACTGTACCAACAGTGGAAAATTCTCAGTGTAAGCTAGTAGCTCTTGTAATGAAGAGGAGCCTAGATTAGATTGATTTGTCCATTACCTTGTAACATTTCCTGTACACTACACGCTCCGCCTCTTTTATTCATAAGGTTTTGTCTGAATCATTGTCAGTTTGTGTTTAGCCATCAACAAAGCCTCCTCTTCTGTGCAGGCAGGCACATAGGAATGTTTTGAAATTCACAAGCCTTTCACGAGTCTGAACTATGAGAGGCTGCGGTGAATTATTTGCCTGGACAGAGAAAGGAGACTTCACTCAGCACAATGAGTTTTATCCTCCCCTGTTTCCAGTTTTCTTCAATTTTAAAACGCTTATCCTCCCCAAAACCCTGTCTTGCTAGGTTCCCGTTTCTCTTTGGACATTGAGACGGTTATCTTAAGACACAAGGCTGAAATGTTGTAAAGGGAGTTTTCTTAAGATGTTTTGTGTATTGGAGTGCATGTTTTGTAAGGGCAGGAAGCTGCTATATTTTGTTACACACTTACCAATCAAGGCCCTTTGACTTTTCAAAGCCCTGGGAATGAGCGTTGTAAATCACCCATGTTTAGCTCTGTGCCTGGTGGGGTGGCATTCGTTACTTTGTTGAAAGAATGGCGTTTCTTTTGTGCTGCTAGAGGCCTACTCCTTCTGAAAAGTTCTAGTGCTGAGGTCCCATCTGCTTTGTGACCCTCCAACATGCCTTAGAGCTTGTCAGAGCAGCGTAGAAATGGTGACCCCTGTGCCTCAGGCAGATTTTCACTCTTCATATTCCACCTCTTTCCTCTGTCCCCCCCCCCAGTCCTGCTTGAAGACGGACTGGCCTTCTTTTGAAACACAAAATGTGCGTGTGTAAAGGACAGTTAGGCCCTGACGTTCCTCAAAAAGAGTCGCATCGTTACTTGAGCTGTCAGCTTACACCTGAATAAACATCTTTAACTTGAATATTCATTTCATTTTTAATGAATCTGACCTTGTAAAAATGGCAGTGGGATTTGTTCTTCATAGATTTGGATTGTACTTGGCTTCAGGGCTTTTTGGAAGTTTAACACTTAGTTTCTCATGAAACACTCAAAAAGGGTAATTCCTAGTTTCCGTTTCATTTATGAAACATGAGGTGAAAATAGACCTTTAGCATGTTTTTCTTCTGCAGTAATGCATGGCCTTAACAACATAAAATTGGTTGTACATAAATATAATTAGAAATACAATGAATAGCAATGCAAGCCTGGTTTCTTTGACAAGGGAAATGAGAAGTATATGGGGTGGCAGAGCTCTGTAGGTAGTTGCATATAATAACAGGTTTAACTAGTGGTGGCCTAAATGGTGTTTGGACTAATTTATCATTCCTCTGTATCATCCAAAGAGTCAAGCAAGGTGTACTTTAGCTTTTTTTATATGTGAATATTCTTTATGTTTTGTAGTTTAACTCACAGAAGAGAATGGATAACTTTTTATTATGGAAAAAAAAACAATATTTTTTCTCAGTTTTTCAGTAACAGTTAGTACAAAGGAAGAAAGAGAGAAGAGCACATCTGGGTTAAATATTTGTCATGATATCTCCAGGACAGTGGGAGTTGTGGTGCCAGAGTGGAATTCCTGCGGGTTTGATCCATCACATTATTTGTTTGTTTTGAAAGTTTTTTTTCCCCACTTTGGAATGAATGAGCAAAGGAGATGGAGCCAAGGAACAGAATGTCTCCTTGGCGAAATGTACAGTGGAAGAATTACGTTTCGTAGAAACAAAAAAAAATAAAGCATAGAACTGGTAGGTCCTATTGAGACACCACAAGGTGGCACTATTTTCAAATTTCTTTTTGTTCCTCCACATACTTAAACCAAAAATAAATTGTCTCCTAATTAGTGGGAGATGTTTTCTGTTCTTGCATCTTTAACATATACAGTAGGTTCGAATCTCTCGTTTTAGCTGTGGTAGACTACTCTATAGTGGTCCTACTGCTAACAAATGTTCAATGTGCTCCGATATTCTATCTGTTAAACCCAGATTAGTAAGGCAATTATATTTTAGAGAAATAATTAAAATGATACTTTTAATGAAAAGTTCGATGGGCCCATGTAAGACATACGTTTAGAACAAGACAGAATTAATTTTTTATTACGTGTTTTCTTCCAAGGCTGTTCCCTGAGTAATATTCCTGAGAGTTGCGAGTTTTCTCCCTCGGTTCGGTAAAAATAAAGCAGAAGAGAAAATGCACAAACATTGTGATTTGATTGTGCCATCAGTCAAAAACAGAATATGGAACAATTAGAATGGGTGGTAGTTAAAGTGCAGCAATCACACAGTCCCGCACTGTGTTTACCTTGCAAATCCATTCCGGCAGTTCATACTAGTTTGCATGACATGAGGGCTCGTTATCAGAGCAAGCTGCCGGCTGAACAATTCAAAGGACAAAGTCATCTGCATGCAGTGGGTTTACCCTTTTGACTGCTGTCTTCATGAGGGCAGACTGAAGCAGTAGTGACAGGATGCCGTGTCTGGAAAGGAATACTTCGGCGTCATCTTGATTAGATCTCTTGTCGCCACGGATCGATTCAGTCCAAGGTTTCTCGAGCTCTGTTCAGAAGGTGAAGCTCTGGCGGTGCGAATGAAATGCTTTTCGATCCAGGGAAGTGAAGTACCAGGCATTAAAAAAAAAGTTTCATGCTCTGTGCGAGTAAACATTTTACAGGAAATTTAAGTAGTATGAGATGCCTTTGTTTTGCAGCTTCATGTTTCAGGTTACTGAATAAACATTTAATCTCTTTGGTCTTTTATTGCACTGTAAAATTATCGGTTTTCTCCAGTAATCCAGATCCTTTGTTAGTCTTTCCTGTAAGAGAGGAACTGGTCTGAGGGCTCAAATCATTTGGCTCACCATGAGAAGTTTTCAGTGCAAGAACAGAGGCTGAGACCCTCCGAGCCCCGTTTCATTTTGTTTTTCTGG